GCCACTACTACAGAGGAGAGAGTTTAAGATCCAGGGTGGGCAGATAGGTGATAATGCTTCTGACATAAGCTACAGCAGCATTAGCAAGCAAATGGACAGAGGAGTGAAAGAAAATCACACCGAAAATGAAGTGGTTCAAGCCGTCCTCCGTATCATCAAGCCAGGCATTTTCAAAGAAATGCTCACCAGAAAAGAGGAGATGTCTGTCGCCGAGTTGAAAAGCTTTTTACAGTCACATCTGGGAGAGAAAAGCACAACTGAACTGTTCCAAGGACTCATAACCGCAAAACAAAACGAACATGAAACCCCACAACAGTTTCTCTACCGTATGATGGGACTGAAGCAGAAGTTGATATTCATATCAAAACAGTCAGATTGTGATATCAGATATGAACCTCAAACAATCCAAAATGTGTTCTTGCACACCATATATCAAGGTTTAAATGAGAGACATGAGGACATTAGACGAGAGCTAAAGCATTTCCTTTCTGATTCAACAGTGACTGATGATTTGCTCTTAAAACAAATGACAAAAACTACAAACGAGGAGAGTGAACGCAAACGACGTTTAGGCCGTGTCACCCGTCCCAAGACCGCTTCCGCACTCAGTAGTGATGTTGAGCCCAGTGTGAAGGTGAAACCCAGTCCTGAGTCAAATGCCAAAGATGAACTAATTCGACAACTCAGTGCCCAAGTCCAAACACTGACAGATGCAATTGGTTCTTTCCAAACCAGACCCAAAGAGCCATATAAACCAAATCAGAGTACATCAGGTTCATAAGGCTCATGTCGCGTCCCCAATTCACCTCGCAGGCAACAAAAGAGCAAGTTTGGTTGTCCTGATTGTGTTGCTCACCGCAGGACCAACTGCAACCACTGTTTTAAATGTGGCGAGGAAGGACACCGTGCACTAGGTTGTTTGAAAAGAAACAGAGATTACAAATCAAGGGCGCAGCAACACTCACCAACAGAACTCAATGGAAGCGACCCTCACTCCACTAGCGATGCGGCCTGTCACTCCGCTGATGTCATGTCTGCATCACAAAGAGTAGCAAAGATCTTAGGAAAAAAATGTCTCCTAAAGTGCAATCTAAATGGCTATGCTCTCTCTGTGCTCATGGACACCGGTGCACAGGTCAGCATTGTTGATCGAGTTTGGAGAAAGACTTTTGCCCCACAACAAAAGATTCGTCCACTCAGCGAGTTACTAGGAGACAAGCCGCTCCATGTGAAAGCAGTAAATGATGAGTCCGTCCCCTATGATGGATGGATCGAACTGTTGTTTAACTTGCCTGACAATGCCAATCCAGATCTCACTATCAGAGTCCCATTCCTGGTCAGTACTGTCTGTATTCCCCGTCCAATATTGGGATTCAACGTCATTCAAGAACTCATCTTGGGACACTCTGATGAAAAAGAGGCCGCAATAGTTCTCACTAAGCTACTAAAGGACGCTATGCAGATTCAAGCATATCAGGCTGAGACTATTGTGAACTTCATCCAGACCCGTGAAATTAAATCTGAACAAGCCAGAGTCAGAGTGGGACGCCAAGGTGCAGTCATACGCCCTGGTCAAGTCACTCATGTGAGGTGCCATCTGTCCTCTGATTTCAATGCTCCTGTTGCTCTTTTTGAAGTCACCGACCCTGACATGAAGCTGCAACAGCTTGATATTGGTGATGGACTGGTGGAGGTACACAAAGGCAAACGATCCTATGTTGAAATCCCAGTAGGTAATCACACACAGAGAGACATTATGTTAAGTAATTTGACATCACTAGGGAGCATTCAATCTATAGACAAAATCATAGAAACAGACACTCCTTTTTTAAATGACCCAAGTACACATGATTACAGTGAAAAAGAACATTCACTGAGTGAGGCCACTCCCCAGCGGTGGCATCCTCCAGTTGATGTGAGTCATTTAAGCGAAGAACAACAGACACTAGTGAGACAAATGCTGTATGAAGAATCAAATGCATTTGCCCGAGATGAACATGACATTGGGTGCATTCCTAGTCTTCAAATGAACATAACACTGAAAGATGACACTCCCGTACAGAGAACGTACTCTGCCATTCCCAAACCACTATTCAGGGAGGTTAAATAATACATCCAAGATCTTCTGGCTAAACAGTGGATAGTCAAGTCTAAGTCTCCTTATGCATCTCCAGTGGTGTGCGTGCGTAAGAAAGACGGCACCCTCCGTCTTTGCATAGATAGACTATAGACTCCTGAATCAAAAGACAGTCCCTGACAGACACCCCCTGCCCCGCATTCAAGATCTCATCGACACACTGGGGGGATATAGCTGGTTCTCGATTTTAGATCAGGGGAAAGCCTACCATCAGGGCTATGTGGCAGAGGGATCACGGCACATGACAGCATTCATCACCCCATGGGGATTGTACGAGTGGGTCCGCATCCCTTTTGGGCTGTCCAACGCGCCCGCCACTTTTCAGAGGAGCATGGAGGAGATGCTGAGTTCATTGAGGGATGAATGTTGCATCCCATATTTGGATGATATTCTCTGCTACGCTAAGACATTTGAGGAACATGTAGAGGGACTCAGACGTGTCCTGAGAGCACTCCAGGAACAAGGCGTGAAACTTAGGCCGACCAAATGTGAACTTTTTAAGGCTGAGGTCCGCTATGTGGGGCGTCTCGTCTCTGCTGATGGCGTCCGTATTGACCCGAAAGACTTGGAGGCCATTGAAGCTCTCAGAGACAAATGTCCAAGCACTGTTGGTGAGGTTCGTAAACTACTTGGTTTTCTTAGCTACTACCGCACATATATTCAAGATTTTTCAAAGATTGCCAGGCCAATGTATGAACTGTTAGTAGCTAAAGGCCCTGATTGTACCACTACACCTCACCAGTCAAAGAAAACATCAAAGTCAAAGCGTATGCAGATGCCGTCAAAGACACCCATCCGCTGGACTGAAGCACACCAAAGGGCGCTGCACCAGCTCATCGCCACCCTCTCCAGTCCACCTGTACTCGCCTACCCCGACTTCAACCTCCCCTTCGTGCTGCACACTGACGCCTCGGAGCGGGGGCTTGGCGCCGTCCTTTATCAGCGCCAAGGTGGTAAGCTACGGGTCATCGCCTACGGGTCAAGAACATTAACACCTACTGAACGAAATTATCACCTCCATTCAAGTAAATTAGAATTTCTGGCTTTAAAGTGGGCCGTCAGTGAGAAATTTCGAGACTATCCTTACTATGCACCACATTTTACAATCTACACGGACAATAATCCGTTAACCTACGTGATGAGCACAGCAAAGCTTAACGCCGTTGGCCATCGCTGGGTTGGTGAGCTTGCCGATTTCCGATTTGAGATCAAATATAGGCCAGGAAGAGTCAATGTAGATGCAGACACTCTATCAAGACTGCCATTAGACATAGCCAGCTATGTAGACACGTGCACCAAAGAACTGTCTAGAGACACTATCCAGAGCATTTGGGAGGGCTGTCATGCTGCAGAGTCAAAGGACGTTGCTTATATAGCAGCCATGGACATTGCTCAGAACGACCAGACACGTGACTTGTTGCCAGCCATTAGCCATGCTGAGATGGTAAAAGCCCAGCAAAATGACTCTGTTATAGGCCAGGTTGTCAAACTCAAAGAGACTGTTCAAATGCTGACTACTGACATTAGAACTAGTGTTAGTGGTCCGGCCAGAAAACTGCTTTATGAGTGGGACAGATTGTATCTCCAAGACAGTTTTCTCTTCAGAAAAACAAATCTGAGGCAACAACTTGTCCTTCCAAAACTATACCATGAGACAGCGTTGAAGCTTCTGCATAACGACATGAGTCATGTGGGCACTGAAAAGACAATGACTTTAATCAGGGACCGCTTTTATTGGCCCTACATGAAAAGAGATGTAGAGACATACGTTACAAGAAAATGCCCCTGCTTAAGAGCAAAAAGCCAGTGTCACACATAAGAGCACCCATGGGGAGCATCACCACAAGTCAGCCACTAGAGCTTGTCTCCATTGACTATTTACATTTAGAACCTAGTAAAGGCGGTTATCAGTATATCCTTGTAGCTGTTGACCACTTCACCAGGTACGCTCAGGCTTATGCTACTAAAAACAAATCCGGAAAGACAGCCGCAGAGAGACTTTTTGAAGATTTCATCCCTAAGTTTGGCTATCCGCACAAGCTGCACCATGACCAGGGGAGAGAATTTGAAAATGACCTCTTTAAAACCCTACAGCATTTGAGTAAAGTTGGACATTGTCGTACAACTCCCTATCACCCCCAGAGTAATCCAGCAGAGAGATTTAACCGTACACTTCTTCAGATGCTGAGGACCCTAGGAGAGAAAGAGAAGGAGAGATGGAGAGATCATCTGGCGCACGCAGTACATGCCTATAACTGCACTAGACACGAGGCCACAGGTATGTCTCCATTCTACTTAATGTTTGGCAGGCAACCCAGACTGCCTGTGGACCTCATCTTCAATCTCAACCCTGACCAAGATCCCACCACTCCTAGAGGTTATGCAGAGAAGTGGGCAGCAAGGATGAAGGAGGCCTACAGGATTGCCTCTGAGAATAGCCAGCAATCAAGTGCAAAAGGAAAGAAATCCTATGACAGACACACCAGAGGGACTGTCCTTGAACCAGGTGACCGAGTGTTAATTCGCAACTTGGGAGAGAGAGGAGGACCGGGTAAATTGAGATCATACTGGGAGAATAACATCTATGTAGTGAAGGACAGAATGGCAGATGGTCCGGTTTACAAGGTGACGCCTGAGAATGGAAGCAATAAGGTCAGAACACTCCATCGCAATCTCCTTCTTTTAGTCAATGATTTGCCTGTAGAACTACCTCCCAGTGTCTCACCTGTGAAACATAGACAGTCCTGTCAAACAAGAAACAAGAGACAATCACAACAGGAGCAGAGACTCAGTGACATTCGAAGTAACTCATCCTCAGACTCAGAAGATGAACCAGCTCACTACTGGCTGAGGATTCCCCAACATGTCACAAGGGCTCCACCTGTTGGGCCACAAGGAGAAAATACTCGAGTACAAGTACAGTCCAGACCATTAATTGCTGTAAAAGATTTAAGACAAACAGAGCATAACCAGACTATCCAAAACAGACCACTTGGGAACACCGTTCCACCAGAGCCAGATGCAGATAAGTCTGAAAATGAGAACATTGAAGTTCCTGCGGAGGAGGTACAGAGGGAAACAGACCCTGAGGACAACGACGAACCAGCAGCTCCACTTCAACCTGCAGACGCCAATGAGGGAGAAGAGGATGAGCCCGAGGTCCGGAGGTCCACTCGTGCCCGCAGGCCACCGCAGATGTTCACCTACAATTCCCTGGGCCAGCCAACATTCCAGTTCCAGCCGCCACCAGCTGTCCATGCAGTCGAAGCCTTCTTGCCACCAGCGGTGCCTTTCTGGGGAATGGACCCTAACTCAGTGATTTATTGTTATTGCACCAACATCATATGACTCTAACTCAGTGGGATACTGTGCACCAACGCCATACAGACTCGTTCCTCAGCAGCATGCATATCCAGGAATATATCCTTTTTCGGCTCCAGTTCATCGGATGCCTGCTTATTAGTAAAAGTAAGGACAATGATAGATGAAAGTAATGGTTTCACCATTTTTGTTTTTGTAAATGTCCGGAGTCATTTTCTGTTGTCAGGGAGCGTGTGACGCACACAAAATGTGCAGTCACATTTTATGGTGTTTTAGTTTAAGATATCCTTTATCTTAACTCAAAATTAGCTCCTTTATTAGTGTAATAATGTGTTTTTGTTTGTTTAGAAGTAATTTTCACATTTGCGGGTGCGCCACCAGGGGGCAGTGTCGTGAGTAGTAGCGGGACTTTCCACCAGGGCCCATCTTGGAGAGTCTTTGGTCCGCTCCATTTTATAACATGAAGCGAGGCTGCACTGAACGGATGCTCACGCTGTCGTCTCTTTCATTTGTCCTGTTTATTCAGGTAATATAATGTAAAACACATTGAAAAGTACATACAAGATGACTGTATATTGTTTTGGTAGTAGATTGCCATTTTGTCAGTATGTGTTTAGAGGTTTACACCACGTTAGACCACTGTTTTAGAGTTTAGCAGTTCACTAGGAGGGAACATGTGGTTTTGTAATGGCGGCGCCACCCTTGTAACATGGACTCGTGCGTAGTAAGCATGTAGTAACTTTTGAGACTTTGTTTATGCTCAGGAACCGTTTTTCTAGTTTGTTTATTGTGTGTAAAGTTTATTAAGAAAATGTGAAATATGTTTTAGAGCAGACCAGACTTACAACCATATATTAGATCCGTTTAGCTAGTTTTTCAAGTAACATAATGGACTTGGTTATTGTATAAATGTATACAGAAGAACATATTTTAGTTAGTATGCAATGTTGGTGTGTAGTTGAATGTGCGTGAGATGAGTGACCACATTGTAGGAGACCAGATATTGAAGTAACATGATTTTAGAATTGGAATAAATTAGATTAGAGACATAATTGATAGATAGTACACAAATTGAACATGTAAATTGTAATTGAATATTTTTGTTATTTTATAACATGAAGCGAGGCTGCACTGAACGGATGCTCACGCTGTCGTCTCTTTCATTTGTCCTGTTTATTCAGGAGTATTCTTCTGTGCGGGTCTGCCCCCTAGACCGGACCCGTAACACTATTATGTTCCACGTCTTTGTCTCTAAAAAGACAATGGGCCTCATTCACGAACCGTACTCAGAACAAATCTGTGCGTAAATCCTACTTACGAAGATTTTACGGTACATACAAATCCTACGAGTCCTCAGGAGCACTTGTACGCACATTCAGTGCCGACATGTTCACACGCTGGTGTTAAGAAGTTCAATAAAACACAACATTACAGTGATATGTCCGTCATATTGATGTATGTATTTATTTATTTAATTGTTAATGGTATTTTAGCCTATTTTTTAATTCATTTTTAAATGAAATGTGCCAACGCTTTATCAAATACATTGGAAATCTTGCTGTGTATTAGTGACCCCATCCGATTTATAGGGGGCATTTCTCCATCCACGGGCCACAGAACAATGGCACATATACTGCTGATGCAGGAGGCTGCGGGGTCCGCGCTGAGTCTCTGCACTGGTCTCTCCCATGGATCTATACGGATCTGCACTGGTCTCTCCCATGGATCTATACGGGTCTGCACTGGTCTCTCCCATGGATCTACAGGTCTGCACTGGTCTCTCCCATGGATCTATACGGGTCTGCACTGGTCTCTCCCATGGATCCATACGGGTCCGTCCGTGCCACATGCTCCTGGATCCATACGGGTCCTCTCTGGTCTCTCCCATCGATCTATTACAGGACCGCGCTGGTCTCTCCAGTCTATGGTCTATTCTGTCTCTCTTCAGTCCGCGCTGGTCTCTGCGCACCGGTCTCTCCAGTCTTCAGTCTACGGCCTCTCCTCGGTCCGCGCTGGTCTCTGGGCGCCGGTCTCTCCAGTTTATGCGGTCTCTCCTTGGTCCGCGCTGGTTTCTGTGTGCTGGTCACTCCAGTCTCTCCTCGGGTCCGCGCTGGATCTCCTCAGGGTCCAAAATATTTTGAGATTAATCTCACAACATTTTGAGATTCATTTTTAAAATAATACATAATATATTTTTAAATTAATCTCATAACATTTTGAGATTAATCTCATAATATTTTTTTATTAATCTCATAATTTTGCTAGTTTGACTTTATTCTGTAAATATTTCGACTTTAAAGTCAACATGTTTTGACTTTATTCTCAGTCTGACAAAAGAAGAAAAAAGGGTGAATGTTTGGCTCCGTAACTCTTTGGCCTGTTGCTGTTTCCTCTGGCGTCTGCACACGGCCCTGCAGTCCCTTATATGGGCATTATTGGGCGGTTACCTATGCTAAGTACCTATGCTAATGAATCACCTTGCACGCGCGCTCTACTTACGAGGAGTTGGCATTCATCAATCTGAGACAAAAGCTGCGAACAATTCAGAGGCTTAAGAGCGCGTTGATGAATCCCACGTAGGATCTTCTTAGAAATCTACTTAAGAACGACTTGAGAAGAAATTTAAGAAGTTTCTTAAGAAGATATTTGTGAATGAGGCCCATTGAGACATAAAAAAAAAAAAAACAAGCTTATCTTAAATGTTGCTTAAAAATGGTAAGTTGCATTCCGGTCTGTAGTTAAAATCATTACAATCTAAATTGCTCTTCTTCAGAGGGGGTCTCACCACAGTCGCTTTGAAGGCTGCAGGAAAGACCCCAGTCTGAAGAGAGCAATTAAAAGCTACTCTCTAAAAGATTCACAAAATTACCCAAACAAGGGAGTGGGGATTGAATCAAAAAGACATGTGGTGGGCCTCACGGTAGAAAAAACTTTATTAAGCATCTCAGCATTAACCAGGGCAAAACTGTGTGTTTCCTCAGTGAAGACAAACAATCAGATGTGTTAAAATCAGTAGTACAATTGGATAAAATGTTACATCTGATTGTATTTATTCCCCATGAACGTGGAATCCAAAATCCACAGAGAAGGTCTAAGGGGTGGTTAAGTCAGGGTTCAAAATGGTGGCTGTGCCTCCACTTCTTCCTTCTCCTGTTTTAAAAGAAAAGCTAAAATCAGGGCAGGGGAGACCTCGATAAGAACAGCCGGAGTCTCCAGACACAGCCAGTTCTCATTTAAAAAAACATAGTATCCAGTTTGCGATTTAGAATAAAATCATTAATGATAAAAGTCTTATTTTCCAGAATGCGAGGAGCGGAGGATGTGGGAAAGCAAAGAGCAACAGTGATGAGGTTGGTGAGGGACGATTTAGTTGGGTACGGGCGGTCTGTAGGGGCGGGGTCTGGACAAGACTGGAATCCCATGCTGGAGAGGAGAGCAGGGACCATTGTTGGTGTCCAAAGGGGCAGGAGAGATGAGGGAAGTGGTGGTGGGTTGTCAGACGTACGCGGGATGGGATTATACATTTGGAGATAAGGTACTGATTGCCGAGGTTGGTCTGAATGTGGAAAGTGATATGTGCTGTCACTGTTTGAATACAATTTCCATGAAATGTTCCAGCCGTTCCTTTTAAGATTGAGCTCTATGGACTGTTTTGCAACAGCGTGTTGAAGTTCCTTTGGTGTCATTGTGTCTGCTGGTTTTATTGGGAGGATAAAAAACAGGAAGTTGTGATTTATAGATTTGTTTGTATGAGTTTTTGGGAGTAGGAGCAGTGTCCATGGTGGTGTATATAAGCAGGCTGGTTCACTGTACCATTAGGTACAGTGACTAAAAACAATGATAAAAGCTTGGTTTAAAAATGAATAATAAAAATGTGCAGCTCAAAAATGGCTCCTAACAAATGTGTCTGCCATCTTTCCACCCGCATCATGCCACTCCGTGGTTTCATTTTGTGTGACAAAGTGGTCTAATTTAAAGCTGCACTAACTCACTTTGAGACATTTTCGAATGTGAGCGCTGGGCTCGCTCTTTCTGCTCCCCCTCCCACAGAGCTTAAAATGGGCAACTACAGAAATCATATGCGCAAACTGGGACACCCAGATGTAAATGTAACGTGGGAATCTCAATTTTGATGGCGTGTCTCACGTAAAGGAGAACTAAACTACCTCCTAGACTTCCCTGTGGGAATGAATAGTGCTACTCTTGAAACTGCCCAAGAAGCATTGACCCAACCATCAACAGGTGTTCAGCCTACAGGGGCCTTCCTGTTCTTCTTGGGGACAATGCCTTAAAGTTCTTCACAAGTCCCAAAGTAGTGCATTTAAAAGTTGCAATTGTACTGTTTCTTTTACTGGTTGTCTGAGTTTCATTTACCACAAATAAAACATATCACTGCCCTGATCACCGCAGCACTGCCTTCATTCTGCTCTCTTGACCTACTACCGACACCTCTAGTTAAATCCTGTGCACCAGCACTCTGCCCCATTCTTACAACCATAAGAATTTCTCTGTCCTCCGAAATAGTCCCCCCACCGCTCAAAACTTCCTCACTCACACATCTGCTCAAGAAAACTGGCTCTGATCCTCAACATTTGTATAACTACCATCCTATTTCCAATCTCCCCTTTGCTGCCTAATTACTGGAACTCACAGTCGCAGCTCAACTTGAGGACCATCTTCTTCACAACAATATGTTTGAGCCCTTCGAATCTGGATTCCGCCCCAAACACAGAACAGAAACCGCTCTAGTCAAATTTACAATCTTCTCATAGCAGCTGACTCTGGCTTTCTCACAATTCTCATCCTCCTTGATCCTCAGTACTGCCTTTGGTATCATCTCTCACGCAGTTTTATTAGAACGTTTGGCTAGCAGTGCGTTTCAAAAGAGAAAACATATATCACTCAGTTTTCAATGGAAAACAAATTCCAACGTTCATTTACAGTGATGTCTGCCGTTCATGACACATAATGTGAACTAATTCACGTTCATGTTCTTTATAAAAAAATGCGTCCAGTTCAACGTTTACAAAAAAATTAACGCGTTCTTTTGAACTCGTTCACGCACAACACTGCGCCCTTCTCACTGGTTTACCCCAAAAACACATCCAACGTCTCCAACATGTCCATAGCTCTGCTGCATCACCCCGGTTCTCATCCAACTCGACTGGCTCCCCATAACCCACAAAATCCAGTTTAAACTCCTCCTTCTCACATTCAAAGCTCTCCATACCCCTCATACTTGAGTGACCTGCTCCACCCATACACCCTGTCCCGCTCTCTCCGCTCCTCATCTGCTGCTCTTCTCACTGTCCCCACCGTCAAAATCGCCACGATGGGGGCCAGAGCATTCAGCCACTCTGCCCCTAAACTCTGGAACACTCTAACACTTGACCTGCGACAGTTAGACATTTTCAAATCACATCTCAAAGCTTACCTTTTTAAACTGGCTTATTCTTTGTAATTTTACAATGTTTTATATTCTATACTTTTAATAATGTGTGTGATGTTTTTTACAATATAAGGTGTCCTTGGGTGTCTGAGTTATTTTACTTTAGTTTATTCTACTAAATCAATACATTTGTTTGTTTTGTATCAATAAGTAGTGATAGGCAGATGTAGCCATACCATTAAGCTCCGTTTTCCACTTGCAGATGCCGTTAAAATCACCAAAATCACCAACACTATACAACACTGTGAAGAAATATTGATGCATCATTTTTACTGCAGTTAGTCAGCACCGATTAACTACAGTACAGCCTATGCTTTCCATTAAAACCTGTCAAACCAAGAAGGCGCGTCCAAACCACTGACTGTAAAACAAACCAATGCGAAGCTGACACAGTTGATACATAAAGCAAAGCAGTGGCTGCAGTGTCAGAGACACTGACACGTTTGTTCCAGAATAAATAACTGTTAAATAAATGTTTCACAACTTAAGAAATGAATGCTTTAGAATGCAATTTCATATTAAAATTAACGTTAGAGGTCTAAAATGGTTAACATTGTCTTAGGGTTAGGGAGAGTAATGGTTAATGCTTAGATACATCATGAGTTAGTAGAACTTAAAAAATCATAATAATGGTAGTTTTAATTATTCAAGTTGACAGAGTTTTCAAAGAGATAGTTACATCTGTCAGATCATTTAAGTCAAACTTCATTTCAATTAATTGGGTTTTGCAAATAATCTACACATGGAGTTTACTTGTGGATCAACTTAAAAATATACTAGGCCATTTTCACAAATTTTAGGAAGATTAGACGGTGAGCACTGTGAACTGTGGATTTCAGAACTTTCCACAAAAGGTCTAAGCTTAGACTGGGCCATTCAAACACCTGCATGGGTTCAGTTTACAACCGTTCTATGTCTGTATGTGAACGGCCATCGTCTCGCTGGACCTTCTGACCTTTTCATTATTCCATGTGTGTTGCATGTGTCCTACATGCGAACATGTGGCATACTTGTGCACATGTGTCCTGAGTGGTCAGCACATGTCTCACCTGCTGTCCCAGGCTCCGGAGCTGTCCTCTGGTCTCCTCCGCTTTAGCTGCTAGCTCAGCCGTGCTCACCTGAGGGCCTGTGGACGGGAAATAGAGGTGAGAGATATACAGTGCCTTGCGAAAGTATTCGGCCCCCTTGAACCTTTCAACATTTTGCCACATTTCAGGCTTCAAACATAAAGATATAACATTTTAATTTTTTGTCATGAATCAACAACAAGTGGGACACAATCGTGAAGTGGAACAAAATGTATTGGATAATTTAAACTTTTTTTACAAATAAAAAACTGGGTCGTGCAATATTATTCGGCCCCTTTACTTTCAGTGCAGCAAACTCACTCCAGAAGTTCAGTGAGGATCTTTGAATGATCCAATGTTGTCCTAAATGAACTGATGATGATAAATAGAATGCACCTGTGTGTAATCAAGTCTCCGTATAAATGCACCTGCTCTTTGATAGTCTCAGGGTTCTGTTTAAAGCGCAGAGAGAACCATGAAGACAAAGGAACACACCAGGCAGGTCCGAGATACTGTTGTGGAGAAGTTTAAAGCCGGATTTGGATACAAAAAGATTTCCCAAGCTTTAAACATCTCAAGGAGCACTGTGCAAGCAATTATATTGAAATGGAAGGAGTATCAGACCACTGCAAATCTACCAAGACCCGGCCGTCCCTCCAAACTTCCATTTCAAACAAGGGGAAGACTGATCAGAGATGCAGACAAGAGGCCCATGATCACTCTGGATGAACTGCAGATAACTACAGCTGAGGTGGGAGAGTCTGTCCATAGGACAACAATCAGTCGTGCACTGCACAAATCTGGCCTTTATGGAGGAGTGGCAAGAAGAAAGCCATTTCTCAAAGATATCCATAAAAAGTCTCGTTTAAAGTTTGCCACAAGCCACCTGAGAGACACACCAAACATGTGGAAGAAGGTGCTCTGGTCAGATGAAACCAAAATCGATCTTTTTGGCCACAATGCAAAACGATATGTTTGGCGTAAAAGCAACACAGCTCATCACCCTGAACACACCATCCCCACTGTCAAACATGGTGGTGGCAGCCTCATGGTTTGGGCCTGCTTTACTTCAGCAGGGACAGGGAAGATGGCTAAAATTGATGGGAAGATGGATGGAGCCAAATACAGGACCATTCTGTAAGAAAACCTGTTGGAGTCTGCAAAAGACCTGAGACTGGGACGAAGATTTATCTTCCAACAGGACAATGATCCAAAACATAAAGCCAAATCTACAATGGAATGGTTCACAAATAGACGTATCCAGGTGTTAGAATGGCCAAGTCAAAGTCCAGACCTGAATCCAATCGAGAATCTGTGGAAAGAGCTGAAGACTGCTGTTCACAAACGCTCTCCATCCAACCTCACTGAGCTCGAGCTGTTTTGCAAGGAAGAATGGGCAAGAATTCCAGTCTCTCAATGTGCAAAACTGATAGAGACATACCCCAAGCGACTTGCAGCTGTAATTGCAGCAAAAGGTGGCGCTACAAAGTATTAGCGCAAGGGGGCCGAATAATATTGCACGCCCCACTTTCCAGTTTTTATTTGTTAAAAAAGTTTAAATTATCCAATAAATTTCATTCCACTTCACGATTGTGTCCCACTTGTTGTTGATTCTTGACAAAAAATTAAATTTTTATATCTTTATGTTTGAAGCCTGAAATGCGGCAAAATGTTGACAGGTTCAAGGGGGCCGAATACTTTCGCAAGGCACTGTATTCTGCAATATCCTCCTTATGCTTATCACCAGGAGGAGTGAAGTCAGATTGAAACTGTGTGTGTGCCTCGCTTGAAGTCTAATAAACTGTATGCGAGGAAATCTGACCTGGGTGTCAGACACACTAACCTAATAAAAGTTCAGATAGACAAAAATAGTTCTAAAAGTAGGGTTGTTAAATGCAGATTAATGAATGTCAGATCAATCTCGTCTAAATCGCTTCTTATAAAGAAACTTATTAAAGACAACAACTTGGATTTGTTTGCGCTCTCTGAGACTTGGCTCCAACAAGATGACTGCGACAGATTGAATGAGTGCACTCCTCCGACGCATGTTGACTACCAGAAAGCAAGAACTACAGGTCGCAGCGGCGGTGTTGCGATTATATCGCACACCAACTTACTTCTAAGTCCTAAAACCAACAATGCTTTACGTTCATCTGAAAACTTAACACTTTCAATCACCTGTCCTAGGTGAAGAAAACAAAAAGCTGTGTTTTTCATAGTTTTATACCGACCTCCTGGTCCTTACAGTGAGTTCCTAACAGAATTCTCTGACTTCATTTCAAAACTAGTTTTGGAATGGGAAAACATAGTTATAACTGGAGACTTCAATATTCATGTGGACGACAGCACAAACAGCTTAAACAAAGCTTTCAGCGCCGTACTAGATGGTGTTGTTTTTACTCAGAATGTTGAGGAACCTACTCACATTCATAACCACACCTTGGACCTTATCCTGACCTACGGTTGTGATGTCTATAAGATTGACGTCCAACGTCAAAGCTCGTTGTTGTCTGATCATTTCTTGATCACGTTTGATCTTGCTTTGGAGGACTTTCCTGCGCCGCAAGATAAAACCATAATGAAAAGAACCTTAAATGATAAATCTATCACAAGGTTCAAAGAACTAATACAGCCGATGCTGAATACCGCTGCAGGTGAACCTGCTCACAGCTGCTGCGGTCCCTCAGTCATTGACCAAATTGTGGACAACACCATGGAGTCTTTAAAATCTGCATTAAATGCAGCAGCTCCTTTAAAACAGAAAACTATTAGGATTAGATAATTGTCGCCATGGTACAATACTCAACTGCATACTTTAAAACAGAACAATAGAAAATTGGAGAAGCTATGTCGCCACTCCCACTCAGAGCCTGTCCACAGGGAGTGGAAAGCAGGTCTCCGAAACTACAAGAATACCCTTCGCAGGGCTCGAACTCAAGATTACTCAACTTTAATAGAAGCGAATAAAAACAGTAGATTTTTGTTTAGCACAGTCGCTAAGCTCACAAACTGCCATAGCGCAATCGAGCCTAAAATATCAAGCTCACTGAGCAGTGTCTATTTTCTTCACTTCTTTTATAATAAAATTATATCCATCCGTGACAAACTGGAGGAAACCACTCCTACTGTTGTTGATGGACAGGCTGAAGCGGCGTACTTGACTTCCCACTTGGACTCTTCAGCGTGCCTCGACAAGTTCACGGCTGTGAGCCAAGCAGAAGAGATCTCCGTAGTCGCATCATCTAAAGCCTTAACTTGCATTTTAGATGCTATCCCAGCTTGGCTCTTCAAAGACATACTTCCTTTGATAATAGAGCCTATCGTAAATATAATAAACGCATCTACTGTATACTATGTGGCTATGTCCCACACGCGTTTAAAACCACGGTAATCAAACCTGCTGAAGAAAACAAACCTGGACCTGGAAATACTTACAAAACTACAGACCGATCTCGAACCTTACTTTCATATCTAAAATCCAGTGGAAAGCTTATAGCTGAACAGCTTTGCTGCCACCTGCAGGAAAATAATATGTTTGAAATCGTTCAATCAGGATTCAAAGCTCATCATAGCACTGAAAAGGCACTAGTCAAAGTCACAAATGACTTACTACTATCTGCTGATAATGATAAGTGTCAGTGCTGGTCCTACTGGACCTTAGTGCTGCATTTGACACAATAGACCACAGAATTCTACTGCGGAAGCAGGAATGGGACATAGGTCTTAGAGAAACAGCCCTTAGCTGGTTTAAATCCTATTTCTCAGGAGGAACAACCCTTGGCTGGTTTAAATCCTATTTATCGGATCGGAATCACTTTGTCAATGTGAATCATAACTCGTCACCTTATTCTGGAGTGGAATTTGGTGTGCCGCAGGGTTCGGTACTTGGACCGATTCTTTTCACTCTCTACCTGCTGCCGTTAGGTAACATAATTAAAAAGCATAGAATTAACTTCCACTGCTATGCAGATGTAGGGCTGGGCGATATGGCAAAAAAGTAAAATCTCGATTCTATTTCCTGCTTTGGATGATTTTGATTTTAAATCAATTTTCATTAAAGTTTGTCCTTGAAAATATATTTTGATCTTTCCTCTCAATAATCAAGTTTCAAAACCATTTTCTTCTTTGTTTCCCCCAATACGTATTATAAAAGTCTAGTACAGACTGTGCTGATATTGCAAGTATAATTCATGTGCTGCTGGAACTCTCACAATATCCTTCATTCGATTTCTCGATTTTCACATTTTTCACAAATTCGATTTTTTAAAAAGCCGATTAATTGCCTAAATTCGATTTATTGCCCAGCCCAATGCAGATGACACACATCTTTACCTGTCGATGAAACCCAATCAGACGGATCAGCTGAAAAGGCTTAGTGCCTGCATAAAAAAATCTAAAAATGTGGATGACTCTTAACTTCCTAATGCTTAGTCTTCCTTGCCGACCAGATAATCACTCTCGATTATGTCAATATTGTACCCAGCAACACTGTGAGGAATCTTGGAGTCATTATCAACAAAGAACTCTCCTTCAAGGCTTATTTAAGCCAAGCAACTAAAACGGCGTATTTCCACTTGCAGAACATCGCTTAAATCAGGAATATCCTTCCTAAAAGTGATGCGGAAAAAGTGATCCACGCTTTTGCCACCTCAAGGCTTGACTACTGTCACGCTGCATTACTGGCATACATACATACAGCAGCAAGGATCTTACCGGGTACAAAAAAGAGGGAGCATACAGTAGGTCCCATTTCGATTTGTCGCCTTTCACGCGTGAATCACACGAGACTCACGTGTGATTCACGCGTCTTTTATCTCCCCCCCCCCCCCCCCCCCCCCCCCCTGACGCTGCAATGACCAAAACAACCACCAGGTGGCACTTGTGAGCAGGGTTACATTGGCGTCTCATCGCTCTTTCTTCTCTCTTCACCGGACAACTATCTGTGGCTTTAAGCCTAGCGTACTGTACATCGGACTGATTATACCCGTCGCCTATGAGTTTCTGCCCCGCGCACATCGACAATCTGGTTAAAATGGGCAACTCCTTGTAGCAGGCCAGT